TAATGTTAAGTTTTTATTAAGTTATATATTAAAAAAATAGACTAATCTTAACGAGTAATGAGTTTGCAATTTCCGAAATATTACGTTATAAATTATTTGGTAAATATTCTAATTTAGTGATTTGTGAAACTTTTGAAAAAGTAATCGCTTCAGGGAGAAGTTACACAAAATTATTTTGATTATCTCGGCAAAATTTGGTTTAAAATTAACAGTGTGAAAACAAGTTTCTAAAAGATATATACAAGCATAATGTTTTTTTTTTAGTAATCATTATTATCCGGCACCTTACTATGATCGTACCAACAGAATAACTATATATTATTTGTGATCGCATATATTTTCATAAAACGTTACTACTGGAAAAAGATGTTGATTTAAAATTAACATGCGAAATATGCAATTTGTGATGATTTAAAATTTTAAAGTGAAATATGTAATTTGATAATGCGAAAGATGAATTTGTTTAATGCGCAAAAAATAATAAGAAAAAAATTTAACGCGCGAAAGATGCAATTTGATTTAAAAGCTTAGTGCAAAATGTAATTTTATTTAAATGTAACATGAAAGACGCAATTTGATTTTAAAAGTTTGGTGCGAAGTATCTATCATATAAAATTTATATATTCTTATCTTTTTTTTTAGTTGATTTTTTGTTCTGTTGCTTAATTGGCTTAGGCACTATAGGAGTCATCCAACAATTTGCTAAATATTTAATTGTTTTAGGTGGTGGAGTTGATTCTTGGCTTCCTCTCTTTAATTCCTTCAAGAAATCATTTTCTTGGTCCTCATTTAAACCCAAAAGATGAAGATTATTCTTTGTTATTTGCTATTTAAGTTCAATTAGAAAAGATGTAAAATAATTATTATAAATTTAGAAATCGCAAGTGAGCATTTAACCTGAGTAATTTAAATTCAACCTATGCAAAGCTCTTTTACCTTATAAGCATAAATACCAGCCAACAATTTAAGAAAATCACAAATGCCGGATCTTGTAAACTTAGATAATAAATAGTATACTACATTACTCTTTTTAAAGATTGTAATTGAACCTCCTGCTCTCCATAACCTAACAAATTGTAATCTAAGGCCAAAGTGCAAAATTTCTATAACTTGTATTGAATTGCTTTTCTCCTCATCATATTTTATGAACCTAACTAAATCGCAGTCTATATCCCTTAGAAGTCTCAGATATAATTCTTTAAATATGTCGATAAAGTTTTATTTTACCATTCAGCCATGTAGTGATAGTTTTTTACAATTGCTACTTGTTCTATTACTTCTATCAATACTTGGCTTAAATGATTCGTGGAGGTATTTCCTGTCATATTAATCCTTAAAAATTTGTTCTGATTCAATTGCACCAAGCTCAAGATTATGTTCTACATTATAGATAAGACCATCTATTTTTCTACCAACCTTTTTTCTCTGTTTTTTTTGCTTGTTACGATTTTTTCTATTTCCGCTAGCTAATAATGACATGTCAGTTCTACGAAGTATAATAAACATATATTAGAGAAATTATTATCAATTTACTACTAGAAAGAAATAATAACCTTTTAATATCTGTGCCTAACGTTGAATCTCTAAAACAAAAATCCAAACATTGCTCAAGTATATTGCCAAAATACCAATTTTCATATTGTATTCTTGTCAAGAAAGAATCACTGTTTTTCCATAAATTTACTATTGTTCTTATTGATCCATGGAGCCATTCCTTGTCGTAATGTAAAGAAGGATCATAGATTTCAC